AAACAATGGCTGAATTCGACCTAGTTATGTAGGTAGTGTTCAAAATCCTACCATAGGTAGGACTCGAACGCTAGGATATGCAAAAGTACGAAAACGTTTTTTGAGCTAGAAGCAAATTTGCACTACTCCGAAATAAGTTTTTGTGTCTCATCTTTCATGACTGAAAACTACTCTACTTGCGGCAGTGAAGAGTAGTCCTTGAAATGCGACACAGGCACGGGAGACGCCCACAATCTTACTAGTTAGAGCACCTATTACTTCTTTGATGTCATCTCGTCGGAAGTGGATCTCGACAACCCAGGCACAGCACGCCTATATTTTTACTAGCCAGACTCCTACCGCTTCTTCTAAACCTTCTCGTCGGACGTGGGTCTCATGAACTTTCTCCAGGTACCGTACGGCCACTTTCAGTATCTTGATACCAACACGTACACCCGAACCTCAAGAACATTGTTCAAGGAGAATATGTACCCCAACGAGACTATATTTGTACCAGCTCCAGATCTTGTAGAGAGTACGCCCTCTCCAGTAAAAAAGATACGACTACTAAATCTGCCAAAGAAATGAAGGAACTAGGGTTCATAGAGCGAAGTGATATTTATACCATCGTCGGGCCGTGTGGTGTATACATCCTTTACAGTAAACTGAACACGAATAAATGTATCCGCCAAGCGAACGAAGGTAAGAATTCATTGAACTCACCACAAAGATTCTAATTCCTACGTTTTATTTTGTATAAACTCTATCATTCTCGTCAGCAGTGAACACTTCTGTGATATAGGTCCTCTCAATTTGTAAGACAGCTCTGACACCAACAGAGATATCAATTTTCAAAAACTGGCGTGGTGTTGTCGGCCCTGGTGGGGGCAAGAGAAATAAAAAAAAAAAAGTGGCCCTCCTGGTGCTGGATGCTGCTTATGTTTCCCGTACTAATTTCAGTGAATATTTAAATACAAGAAAAATACGTGTTTTTCTGGCGGAAATTCGCCGTTTTCTGGCGTACGATTACATAAATTTCTCTTCTTACGAAGTATTCGTAAGGCGAGAAAGTAATAATACCTCAGATTCAGGCAAATTAAGGGAATAGAAATGCACGACTAGTGCACACTAATTTGACATTATCTTTAGAGGGCTATTATGGAAAGGCCATGTCCTGATCGTACAGAAAAATGTTATTGGGGATGAAAGGATATATTAATAGTCTGTGAGGCAAGTTCCATTTGATTCATAATTAGTCTCTTACGTTCTAATAGATAAGAACAAAATGGTGAAATGAGGTGGAAAAGTTGTTGGAATGCTAAAAGTAATATTTTTTGTAAATTTTATGGGCGTAGTCTTGTAAAAATGCGATTTGTTTCTTTGAAATTGGCTGAAAGAGATAACAATTCGTGAAACAGACTATTTTAGACTTAAATAGTTACAATAATCTCAAATGTTGACAAATGCTTACCTAAATATTACATTGCAATTATTAGAATACTTGAAGATCATGCTCAAAAAGAACATCCGTATAAGAATTATGATTATCTGTAGCTCGAATATATGTAATTAATCTTTGATAAAAGACCGTTGGATTCAGCCATGAGGTAACCATATTTACTTCTATTTTTAAGTGAGGGCCTAAAATATACGAATAGATATTTTCATATATTTTTTCGTATATATTGTGTCTAGACTTGCCAAGTTGAAACCAAGAGTTGTGATGACGGCAAATGACATAAATATTTTGAAATTCGACCTGCTTTTGTCCGAATAATATTTCTGTCTACTTGGCAGGTAGCGGATGAATGGTGAGAATTCTATTTTATTATCCAATCAGAGGCTTCAAATTCTGCTGACGTTACTGCAGAGTTGCCGATACTTATCAAGAAATTTATGAAATCTTAAAGCGCGAAACAACTGTAAATTGAAGAGCGCCATTACTTCTTTGATTATTCATCGTGCGTGCGGTTCTGTGTCGTCTATTGTTGTGTGCTCTTATTGCGATTTGATTCTTGCTACTGAAGCGATCTGATCCAAGAACGACCACGTGTCTGCCGTCGGAGTAAGTGGCAACATCATTCTACCCCCACCACAGCTGTCAAAGTAGACAGAAATATAATTCGGAAATTTGATTAGGAGTTCACGATATTTGGACGTTAGAAGCTTCTTTGTCGCCGACTTCACGGCAAGGATGTTTTTCTTTTGCTACCGTTTGTACCACCGATTGCGGGCTCTGACAGTCGTAGCTGCAGCTATACGAGTACCCTTGTGACATCTGCAAGGTCGAGAAAATGGAACCCGGCTGGGAACTACCGCCCCTGGAATAGCGCAGATAAGAGCCTGCCGCGATAAGAACGGAGGCCTTAGAGAAGCGAGGCTTACAAGTAATTACCGCGAATCTCGTCAACGAATCGTAGTTGCGTTCGAGCACGGTACAGCGCTGGGTAAAGAATATGTCCACTATTTCGTGGAAGAATACCACTTCTTAAATGGACATCAAACTAAAAATATTGGATGGTATTCTAGAATGGTGGGGGATTAGTAAAACCCATTTAACGTCCATACAGGCATCTCAAGGGAATCGTAAATCCACCCTTTAAATAAAATATGTTAGGTTTTCTTGTTTAATATAAGTGCCAAAATAGGTAGCTTGACAAGTATTTAACCAAACGATACCCTGAATAGGAGTTAAGAAAAAATGGGCAAGTCAGGTTAGGATGTCAAATATTCTACGTGTGTTATAAAAAAATAATTTGTTGGCTTATCTTTTTTTAACCCTAATAACCGAACAAGTCTAGTTACAAATGCTAAACGAAGAAAATGCAGATACAAAAACATCACAACGAATTTTTCTAATAAATGAAATAGTAACTAACTAACTAACCAATTTTATACAACATATGTGCAAGAACGTAAAGAGAAAGAACGAGACGAGGGCGGAAAAAGAAATGATATAAGGACAAAGATAAAACAAATAATATATTTTGAAGAAACAAAACAATTTAATAAAAATCGTTTGAAATGTATTCATTCTTACAATAATTACTTATATAGAATTCATATATACATAGAATCCAATACAACACGCTATTATTATAAATCTTTGTGCACACGGCACCAACCACATCAGCCAGGGGTGTCTTTCAATTATGAAGGGTTCCGAGAAAAAAGATACTAACCCACTTATGAAAATGATATTATGAAAAAATTACAATGAATACAGCTAGTTCCTTCATCTCTCAAAATATGGTGCGATCAAAATTACCAATGAATGTTTAAAATACACAACTTGTTGTTTCTCTTGAGCTCTGGTCCAAACTTTGAACCAACAAGTCGATGGTTCACGTCGAGAAGAGATTTTGACCCAGTTCTCAATGTCACTCAATTAATCTGATTTACATTTATTCAGTAGCAAATAGGCATTCTTCGAAAGAAACTTATGGGTCAGATTTCCCCCCCCCGGATCACTTCATGAATACTTTGTTACATTACGTTGTCTTCCTACAGTAGTTTTGTACGTAATTGGAACATCAAGAACACCTCTTCCCCTCGATGAACTCATCTGTGACCAAGTCGCCAAATAAGTTCGATCTTGGTGTACGTTTAACACAGAACGGAAGGGGTCTTATACGGAAGAAGGGGGCATCTCTGCCGCCCGTTGGGATCGCAACCATATATATTCATGTAACACTTGGATATACATGTATTCGTAACAAAGTATTTGTTTCATACCAATTCTCTGTGGTCAAGATCGAACGTGTTTGGCAGCAAGTTTACAACAGTACTTTATAAATTAGTATAATCTGTTAAGGATATTTTTCAACTCAGACATAGTCACAGCAATATACATAAATACATTAATAAAGTTTTACATAAATATGATTGGTGGTTCCCAGTGCCAGATTTACCACCTCAAATTTCTGTAGTCCAGATGCTCTTATTTCCGGCATCGCATCGATTTTCTTTGCTCATGTGTACTGTTATTGTCAGTTCACCTGTATGTTATTAAAACAGTGCTCTAAAGATACACAAAAATGAACGAATATGTGCGGATTGTCGTAAATGAAGTGTGCCCCATTGAATAGAGAGATTACTATAAGAAGGTTCTTTCTATAGAATTAGAGACTATACTGATTATCAAAAAGAAAAATAATGTTTATTTTAACAAAACAGTG